AATGGTTTCGACGTTGTTTTCAATTACGTATTCCATAGAAACGTAACCGCTAATCGAGCTCCGAGGGCTGTGGGCATTTTTGAATACAGGCGTTTGTAGACGAACCGCTACCGTATAACCTTAATTGCTGCTCATTTGATGGCAGATTGCGATTGAAAACGTAAAAGGGCCGAATTTCAATATGCGTCCCGTTCGCCTTCGTCTCAAACTAATTACGGAAACAAGAAGCGGGATTGCGATTTTATTAAGTCCTCTCGGAACTCCGGCAGTAAACCAGGGCAAATAATTACAAGGAGTCCGGATTATATCGGGCGTGAGCGAGGGGTAAAATGCGGGGCGTTATTCCGGCGAATAAGAACGGTATAAATTCAGCTCTCGCGAAAGAAGTTTTAAGTCCGACTCGATTATGTTTAGGATTACGGCTGTATTATGCGCGATACGTGTGAAATCGGATAGATTTTTTTTGAGTTCTAACCGTCGTATTTGCTTTGCTTCGGAAATCTCCTGCCGAATGAGAAATGATTTATTGACCAAGCTTGACAATAAAAAACGCAATAAATCGTTTTGAGTTTTATTTTGTTTAAGTTTTTCCCACCCTCATCTGTAAATGAAGGAGTCGCTGATTGAGCGAAGGCGAGGAAGCAAAAAACATTTTTTTCTACTCCCGTCTGTAAAATACCTAACTACCCACCGATCTAGCGTGCGGGAAGCGTTACTTTACCACGTCAGTTTTTACCGCACAGGTTTGGGAGCAATCGGATGTTTTCGGAGATTTTACATCACAATGTAGCCAAAATCTAATACACGGAAAAATGTTATGCAATATATCAGACAATTTAAATACTACGTGCTATAAGCTACAATTAAAATCTAGTGGACTAGTCGGTAAGTAAAGTAATATAATTAAAGTTTCCCACATGAATTTTAGTGGTTTTTACAGTTTTTATATTGGTACCTTGCCATGACCAATTGTACAGTACAAACAATACAAAATTGAAAGTTAGAACCTGGCTTTTCTTGCTTAAACGAACTTAAAAATTTAATCCTCTTAAAAGGTGTATCCTTGGATGATTTTTCTTCCAATTACTGTCTTTTTCTTTAAATAAACTACTTAATGATCAATTGTAAAAGTTAAATAAACAACGAAACGTTTTAAAATGGTGTTTATTCCGTTTTTTATATGACATATCCAATAATACATCTTTCTGTATCAAACGTACACAGTTGAAAAGATACAACAAAGCGGAAATATCCGTAGTGACTCGGATCCGTGGCACAAGAAACTCACGTGGTAAAGTGATGCTTCCCGTACGCTAGATCGGTGTATAATTTGATATTTTACAGAAGGGAGTAGAAAAAGTATACCATGCAACACTCTTTATCACCGCTCGTGCCAAATATACTCGTAAGGCAAATACCGCACTTGTTGCATAATATACTGTTGTTTGTTTACTATTCTTCTGCTTCTTCTTCTTCTTTTATTTTTAACGCGAGAAACTAATAAAATGCAAATTTTGCAATGACGGCGATCGTTAAGAGGATGGAAAACTTAAAGGTTATATCATATATATAAAATACAATATAGTATATTCTACCTCTGCGGAAGCCGTGGAGGAGATATGGGTGGAAAAATAAGATTATTTAACACTGCTTATATTTTTGGTTTACTCTATAGGCCATCTTTTAAACTTTATTATTTTTTTAGATTATGAAATTATTTTTGGGGGGGGGGGGGGGTTAATAAAAATTGAAACACGCTAGATATAACAAATCTAAATATTTTCGCAGACTATTATAGCCTTAAATTTACAGCAAGTAATCAATGAATCCTCACGAATTACAAAGACATCCTCAATATTACTTGATGTCATTAAACCTTCGAAAATAAAAAATGTGTAATACAGGTTAATGAATACAGATCACATATCTCATCAGTCACTGGTTTACTGTAATATAGACAAACAAACTGAACTTTCGGAAAATATTTACGTAATTTTTTCCTGAATTCACAGTTAGAAAATTTTGGATAAAATTAACTCAAAAGTACAATATTTGAGTGAAAAATTGTTTCATATTTTTGACGTCTCGGCTACGGTACATGAGGTAACATTAAGAAATCCAAAATCACCTTGGCTAACCTTTGCAATTAAGGCGATGATTAAACTGAAAAAAAAATCTACATTTACAATACAACTTCATTTGTTCCAAGTTGGACTCTTCTACCTCTACAAACATCACTTCTTCTATATTTTTCACAATCCACTATCCTTATTCCCTCTTGCAAGATGGTTTCGACGTTCCTCTTTTAAAAGTGCTGTCTCTCTTTTTTCTCTTTCCAAAGTTTCAAAGTTTCCACATTTTTTCTTTCAGACAATTTTATATACATCGGAAGTATTATTTGGCTAACCTTTGCAATTAAGGCGATGATTAAACTGAAAAAAAAATCTACATTTACAATACAACTTCATTTGTAAACCTCATGTTCCAAGTTGGACTCTTCTACCTCTACAAACATCACTTCTTCTATATTTTTCACAATCCACTATCTTTATTCCCTCTTGCAAGATGGTTTCGACGTTCCTCTTTTAAAAGTGCTGTCTCTCTTTTTTCTCTTTCCAAAGTTTCAAAGTTTCCACATTTTTTCTTTCAGACAATTTTATATACATCGGAAGTATTATTTGGCTAACCTTTGCAATTAAGGCGATGATTAAACTGAAAAAAAAAATCTACATTTACAATACAACTTCATTTGTAAACCTCATGTTCCAAGTTGGACTCTTCTACCTCTACAAACATCACTTCTTCTATATTTTTCACAATCCACTATCTTTATTCCCTCTTGCAAGATGGTTTCGACGTTCCTCTTTTAAAAGTGCTGTCTCTCTTTTTTCTCTTTCCAAAGTTTCAAAGTTTCCACATTTTTTCTTTCAGACAATTTTATATACATCGGAAGTATTATTTTTCACAGAATGGTGCGTAAGGATAAGTCAAAAGAAAACTCTCAGTTTTCTGATTTTTTTTTACTTTAAAAAGAAGACAAGGAGGGTAGCCGTTTAAAATTGAAGACAAAAATAATAAAATTTATCAAAATACCGTTATAGCATTGATAGAAAATTTGATGGTAAATATTTTTTTGCTGATGGCAATCATTTCATTCTTATTTATTACAGTTTCTTTTCTTCCTCTTTGAAGACCTGATGAGGTCGTGTATAAATCGGTATATTGTTCATTGTTCAACTCCAGTCATATTCGAACACATTCTAACTATTTTTCCAACTTCGTTTCGCTGGCGAATAGCTTTGAACACATTGAAAATAATAATTTTCTCATTTTTGAAAAGGCCAGTTTTACTAATCTAAAAAAATGTATAAATAAAATAGTTATAGTCCTTTGCGTCACTCTGTACGTATATTGGTGATTAAATTTATGAACATGAAAAGCACGGAAATTTAAGTATCCTTGGATAGTTCAACAATGATTTTTTTGGTGGATTACCATTATAATTGCCATGAAAACTATGCCAAATAAAAAACAAGGAGGTCTCACAAGTTGGTCTTCAAGGGTATAGCTTCTTTGTATCATGTCAAATACCAATGTCGATAACAAAATGAATATGCCTAATTTCATAATACTCCAAATCCCTTAAGCTTAACAACATTTTCGAATAGATACCCCTATGTATAATCACCAGCAACAAACTCAATGTTGAATGTTATACTACATTTGTCGATGCATAAGGGGACAATGTTCCATTGGAAGTTAGGTGATCAAGGACTCCTGAAAACAATAAGGGATGTAAAGAAGCAGGAAACTGTTGTCTAGCTAGAAAATTACCAGGCTACCCAAACGAAATAGCAACCAGGCAGTCAGAGAGGTGACTCTTCACCAGTCATCCCCAATATGGAAACACCTTTTTTTTGACAAAGGGTTGAGTATTCTGTCGAGGAGGAGGCACAGTACTTTTGCTGAAGATTAAGGGATGTGGTAAGAATCATCCTCTTTCACTAACATATACAGATACGCAAGGTTCTAATTTATCTCTTTCATGACGCAATAAATGAGTGGAATACGTAATGAGGACAAGCATCCCAGAGGAGCTAATAAAGGCAAACTCCCGGACACAATTTCTATACCAGAAAAATAAATCTTTTAGGCTAAATAAGGAGACGCCTACGTGAAGACAGTAGGCTTGATGTGAAGATAATGCTATCAAAATGTGATTCCAGCTCCTGTTACTGAATTGTGAACTTCAAAGTTCAAATCCATGGTGCAGGAATTTTGAAATTTTTTTGCAAAAAGGGTTGTTTCATTGATTTTGTCAGGAACATTTTAAAAAACTGTTTAGAGATTGCGCAAGCTTGTTCGAGTTTGAACAAGGTCCTCAATTTGAAGAAGAATTTTTTTTTGTTATTGGTTTGCTTGTATTTAACAAAATAAATGATAATCTTGTTCCAGGGAAGCTTAACTTTGTAGGTTTTCATGAGTATGCTTTAAATTTCATATTCTAAAATGATCTCAAAGTATTACATACATTAAAGTTCGCTCCCCTTTTAGTGAAATTAACTCTGCAGTAACATGAGTTTGCTACAGTTTGTAATTTGCATTACTAACATTTTAAACTCTCTAACTGATGGCGAGGCACTACCGAACGGGGATAATGCGTCTTTGGGGTTAACATCAATGAATTTGCAACTGCAACTTTCACTAATTATATATAACTTAAAGAAAAATTAAAACCTTTGGAGTTTAAACACAATTTAAACACAACGCGTGTTCTATGCTATACTATGACAACATAAAAGTTATATCGTCATGTTCAGATAAATGACTGGATAGTTTTGAAAAACCATACGTTTGACGCACTTACTCCATTGTTAACAATCCACTGTCTCTATTCCCTTTAGTGCTATTTAAATTTGCAGCGCAATATCATAAACATCCACCAAATCAGAAGTAAACTTCACATAAATCATTCTCAGAATGGAAAACAAACGACTTACCATGTTGGTGAGGGAAACTGGACGAAGACGAATCCCGGGCCGTCCTAATGTAACACGACTTCAAGCAAGGTATTGCCCTCAAAAGGACGAACAGACCCTCCCTGAACCTCGCGTTCATGTAGCAGTAGATGATGGGGTTGTAACATGTATGTGACATGGCCAGCGCGTGCGTGGGGAAATATATGAATGGCATGATAGTCTCTTCAATGCTGTCCAGAGTCATCTGTAATAGAATTGTTTAAATGAGCTCTATAGAATACAGACTATACTAAATAGTTTTATATTTAAACAGAGACTTATGCCAGTTGAAGTTGTGACTGGGAAATCCAACTTATCCTGTCACATTTAGGGTTAAAACTTGTTTTGTAATTTGGAAGAGAATTGGATAAACACTGTACATTTTTTTCAAACTTAATGAAATTACTTTCCAAGGATGATTCACTCCTGTCAGTTGTAGCTTCATTTCGCGTTGGCTTTTTAAACAGGCTGCTGTAAAATCGATCCTTTGTCGGCACTTTCTAAGTTGAAATATTTGTATTTGACTTTAACATCTTTGTTGTTTTTTGCAGAGTTTACAATTTTGCACCACAATGTAAAGGGTGAGGTCGGATCTTTGTTAGTGACTATATACCGACGGTTATGTAACTTAAATATAGTTTTTCATGCAATAATCGATAATAATATAAAGAAACATTATATCCCATGAATCCCAACATAACTTTCTACGATACATAATCCTTGTTACAATCTACCTTCAAGACTTAACAAGTACAACTGGCTTTCGAAGCATTTATTCTAGTGACTAACTATGTAACTACTAACTAACGACAACTTCAGTGCAATTGACCAGTTATTTGAAAAATATTTACATTGGAGACAATGCTATGTTATTTTTTTATGTCAAAAATTTATTCCCAAGCGTACCGCTATCTACAAATATTATTTTAATTCGATAACAAATATTTTAGACAGGACTATCAATTTTATCTTGCCTATTACCTTTTTCCAATGAAATATTTATGAACAATCTTGAGAGAAAAATTCTGGATAGTCAATCCCGCACATATCTAATAGTTGACAAAAGATCTGCGGACGATATGCGCATTTCCTAAGCTTTATCAATTCCTTAAATGAAAATCTCCGAAAACATCCGATTGCTCCCAAATACGTGCGGTAATATCCCGGAAATATCCGAAGGGGCTCGGATCCGTGCGACAAGAAATTCACGTGGCAAAGTGATGCTCTGGTGACGCTAGATCGGTGTAGAATGAGGTATTTTTCAGAAGACCGTAGAAAAACAGTATATTATGCAACAAGTGCGGTAAACGGCATTTGACTCACGAGTTTATTTGACACAAGCGGAGCGCAGCGGAGCTCGTGATTAATAAACGAGTGAGTTAAGAAGTTTACCGAACGTGTCGCATACTATACTTTTTCTACGACCGTTAGTTTTTGGGTACATTTTCGCAAAACAACACGAATACATTCGCTGACATGACCGTCAGAATTGACAAAAGTCAAAATTCAAAGCGTGGGAAATATCTCGAAAACATTCGACTGCTCCCAAATCCGTGCGGTAAAATCCCGGAAATGTCCGAAGTGGCTCGGATTCGTGGGAAAGGAAACTGACGTGGTAAAGCGACGCTTCCCGCACGCTAGATCGGTGGGTAATTAGGTATTTTACAGACGGGAGTAGAAAAATATATTTTACATCGGAGAAGGAACTTGAAGGAACCGTTTCTCGAAAAGTTAAAAGAATTCCAGATTTGACATTTGACAGAAATGACATTGATGCAATTTTCCTAGAATTCTCCCCATTCTCATAAATTTGCTTCGTTTAATTCTTTGTTCTACGGGTCATTGAACATTCCACTTTTAAAGCAAGCATTTAATAACTACAATTCAATTCAATTCAATAACGGTTATCCATTTTGTTTTATCAATGAGTTATTTTTGAAATTTATCACCAAATCATATATGAAAATAAAAACCTACAAAACGTAGACCCCAATGCTTGATCTTTTTGGGTAATATTTCATTTCATCTGGCTCAGTTGTTAACAAGTAGGAATTTACCTAAAACGTTTAAAATGAACAATACACTGAATCAATTTCTAATAAAAGGTAGAGATTCAATAGATTATTTTTGTGGTCCAGTGGTATATATTCTTTGAACTCTCAGGATTGTAATGCAGTTTATATCCCACAGTCTGCAAGGATCTCTATCAAGGTTAACGAACGAACGAACGAATCTTAGTTTGGTGAAGGTGACAGATCAAATCTGCTTTCGAAATTTTTGTCCATATTATGATTTTGTCACTATACGTGCATTTTTCATATAGATAATCTGTACATACACTTGGAATTCAATTCCTCGACAAACATCGCATTACGTAATTTTGGCTAATCCAAAACGAATAAGCCATTATTTACCCAAGTTCGGAGGTTTCTCACGCCTGAAATCGATTCAAGTCTTTGTTGGTTCGACAACATTGGCTATTGTTCGAAGCCCTTCCCTAGCTTTCAGTAAACTTTGATACGATTTCCGTGTTGAGACTAGTAACCGTAATGTTGAATTAGAAAAATTGAATGTCGTCAAACACTAACTCGAGAAGCGTGTCATGCCACTAGTACGAATCCTTTCGAATACACGTTTTAGTCATTACCTGATTAAACTTAAGACAACAACATTGAACAACCACCCTCAACAGGAACCAACAATTTCTTACACCTTCTATCTCAAATCCACCTCAAAAAACATGAATTCATAGTATCCCTGGAAAATTTTGTTTCGAATGATATGATACCTAAACTGTTTCAGCATATCGAAGTATATAAAAAAATTGTTGGAAGAGAAAATAACATACCAAATTAACGCTATCTGAGACCAGAATACTTTGAGGGTCGTCTGTATAATCTCATTAGGTACAATATGACATGTTCAAAATTTCTTTTCGTATACACGAGAGATTGGGCACAAGGATAGAGAGCTATAGGAGGTTTTCACAGAGATCAAACATATGGTAAGCATCAGATAAAGGACGATAGCGATGTTATTCCACTTAGCTTCGGAGAACTCCATGTTTTGGAACATAGTTTGCTAAAAATAATGATTTTGGTCATCTAAAATAGTTAATTTCTAGGTGTTCAACTGACAACGAACCTTACCTACACTATGTCGGAACGGTATATGGTGAAATCCATAGCAAAGTTCTGCCATAGTGCAAAACTAGAATTATTCGTATTTGTAACTTTCAAAAACAGAATTCTGCAAAAAACTTGATGTATACGATACTGGCAGGTTTCAAAGTTTCCAATATATTCTCATATGCTATATTACTTAATGGTGATGTAGTTCTGAGCTGGAAAGCGCTGGTCTAAAATGTTTATAAATTTGAGGGACTTCCAAGCAGGCTGGATGGAACCATCATTAGTGAACACTGGAATGGAACACATGCTCATCCTTGACGCTAGATTAGAAGAGAAGAGAACATGAAAAAATCCCTTTGAGGGCGATAGATAGATAAAAGATCAGAATATCTCCGATCTGCAGATCCAATTAAAAAATGTATATGACGAAACCTTTTCCAGATTGTTGTAGACATAGTGTAGATCGTTATGATGATAGTTAACATTCGTAACCGATTGGCAAGCAAAAAGGCAGATACCAAAGTGTGACCATGTCTTAGTCGACGTCAGGGACAATTATATTGAACGGCCCTCGTAAAAGAAAAGTGACAGAATTCTCCAAAACTAACGATGCAGATATCCGTTCAACGTGTTAGGCATCTTTGACAAAAGGTGTGCTTTCACGTAAAATATATAAAATTTTAACATTCACAGTACAATCAATTTAAAACAATACGAAGCAATCTCTTCAAATATATATGAAGCTGTCGCGTTTCTTTGGGCTCGAGCAATTTCTCACTGTGCGGAACGTGGAAGCTGGATGCTTAGTTAAAGTCTGTTCATAGATATAACAAAGTGACTAACTGATACGAATTAAGGAAAGACTTAGAATTTAATTATTTGGGGTTTTGTTAGGAAATATACTAAATAATATTTATTTATTTATGTTTATATCTAAAATAAAATTACAAATTATTTTTATTATCTACTTAACTTACTTAAAATTAATCACATAATGTATTAGTATCACTATCGCTATCATCGCCTGTTATGATTATTATTTGTTCTATGTTATTTGCAATATGGATATACGATTGTTCTGCTTTTTCTATATGTTTAACAGAATTTGCCCAACTTTGTGGACGGATGTTAAAAACTTCGGTTTCTATAAGTTTGAGGACATTGAAGTTAACACGGGGAAAAACATTGTTACGACGAATGGCAAATTTCAGTTGGTGCCAAACATGTTCAATGGGATTAAATATACAGTGGTAAGGTTATTATTAAGGGTATTATTATCACAGACGTATTCCTTTCGTAGGTTCAAGCTTTGTAGAACTTCAATTAATTGCTTTTTGGTATAATTTTCGTGAAAATAAATGTCGTTATTATATATGTAGTTTTGGATTTTTGCTTCTGTGTCACATGAGGAAGGGGTTTTAGTCAACTGTCTACTGTGATAATTTGCATTGTCCATTACAATTACGCTATTAGGAGGAATGTTTGGAACTAGTTTATTTTTAAACCCACTTTCAAATAAATCAGCCGTGGTGTCTTCATGGTAACCCGGAGAAAAATCTTTAATATTTTTTGCAGACAGATAAAGTCCATTTGGAATCCAACCATCAAAATAGTTATTCTTGTACCTGTTTTTGATGGCGCGTTTGTTTTACACTTATCAGTTGAGTCAACCCAACCCTTTTGCGGGGTATCATAACTGTCGAACCAGGTTTCATCGAAGTAAATAATTGGCCTTTGTTGTTCACTGTAAATCCTAATTTTTTCTAAATGTTCCAGTCGCCATTTCAGAATTCTAAAAGATTCCATTAAAACTTGCCTTTTGTCAATTTTTTTAAATCTAAAACCCATGTGTTGATTACACTTCCATAAGGTAGTTCCGATACATTTAACACCAGTTTTTCATCTTTTTTAAGCCTCCTAATTAAGATATTTAATGTAGGCACGCTTTGTTCCTCGTATAACTGGTACATTTTAAGCCGTATCATGTCTTGATCATTTTCATCTACACTCGAGAAAATGTCAACATCGCTTCTTTTTTTCCTCGCTGAAATGGGATTATTCACAATTTTCCATACAGTTGATGTTGGAATTTTCGTCCATGTGGCCGTTTCTTCTAAAGATACTTGCTTGCTGGCACCACGTTCAATGTGAGTCAAATAAACATTGTTTACAATTTCCTTAGTCTCAATGGAATAGCGTTTTCTTCATTTGGGTGGGAGCATCTCCTGAGATACACTAGACTCGCACATATTTTGCATAATTCGCACACGATTCAACACACGCTGTATTACACACGAAATAAGAATTATTGCTAATAAACTGAAACTAAGTATATTAAACAGAGGTAGGTATAAAATTATTTTCTATTGCGGACCACAATTTTACCTGAATTTAAATTCCGAAACTTTGGGTAATAATCTTGTTGCATTGTATGTTAATGACCACCCTTGGATAATCCCATTCAAAAGCAATTGGTCACTTTCTTATATCTATGGACAGACCATACCTCCATATTACAGCTATCCGACGCACACACTGCTGTCAAGTTGAGATAAGAGAAACTTCAGGAAACTTCAGGTTTTCGTCGGGGAACGAAAATGCTCGCATTTTTCAGCAACCAACCGCGAAACGATCGATCAAGGCGCTCACTAATAACCTACGCGATGACTGCATCAACGCGATTCTAAAAACCATCTTATTTTACCTGCTTTTTCTTACGTTCCGCTAATTTATTTTAACTGATAATTATTTTGCCCCCATTAATCCGTGCTCTAAACGGGAGCGGGTCTGCAACGGAGTCTGGTGGATTTCGTTTGAGCTCGAAAAGGGATAATCGAATGACCGTTAATCGCCCGTCCGGGGGATGAAACTCGCTACTCTCTCGCAAAAAATTAATTGCTTCCGATGTGGCGGTTCGTTTCTTTGTTGTGCAAACGGGAACAGCATTCGCATGACCTCTTTGTTGCCGAGTTTTGATGCACTTCGTGAACTCGAACCGCCGTTCTTCTGTTACGTGCCCTTTTTTCGTTCCTTTTAGGTACGAATCACTTTGCTGTGGCTGATACGGTTGATTTCAGGGTCAGAAACAAAACCATCTTTTTTCAGTACGTCGATATCATGAAACGAGACGAATTTGGAAGTTTATTGGAATATATACATGCTTATAATTATAGAGATGGTCGATAATTGAAATGTTAACTATTCCAGGATTTATTAAATAGAACCTAATACAAAAGTAAGAATAATATGAAAATAGATAAATTGTATTGAAAATTGTTATTTGATTTTTTTTTTAATGTAAAATTTTCAATGAAAAATCATTTTTTAAACTATAGTCAGATATTCGGGGAGACTGGAACCTGTGGTGGAAGATCAACAAACTTACTTTTATAACCACTACTGCACCACAACTTTATTTAGAACACTGGACACGTGTTTCGCCAACCAAGTTGGCATCATCGGCAGATGATATAAACACTCAAGTTTATATCAGGAGCGCGAGCATTGAAGATGCCAAGTGAGATTTTGGCGAAACGTCTGCAGGATTCCAGTCGGAGTTCAACAAGCGAACGGATGATATCCCGGAATATAGTGTCATCATATATATATATATATATATATATATATATATATATATATATATATATATATATATATATATATATATATATATATATATATATATATATATATATATATATATATATATATTTCTCAAACCAACATTTATCTACGATATATACCTATGATGTTATTTAGGAACTAATGGAACTTACCAAAAGAACGTTGTAAGGAAGCCAGCATATCGTGTAAACGCAGACCACGATAACCATCATTTTGATCATCTAGAAAAAGAAGAAAGTTTCTAGGACATGTGACAAAAGGATAGCCAAATCTAAATATACCCGATTCAGGAATTTGCAAAAGTAGGAAATTTATTTATGTACCGTTGAATATTAATAAAACCACAAATACCATCCAATTAGTGATATATGAGGTAATGTTGTTCATATTGAAAAAAGCAATGATAAAAAATAATCAGTGACATTTAGAACAGAATTCAATTAAAAAAATATCTTTGAGAAGGGTCTCGATAAGAAAATTTCCAAATGCATCGATGTAAAATTTGAATATTTTCGGAGCAAATAAAGTTTAGTTTATTACAATTTAAAGAGCTGACTGACGTAAAAATGTAATAAAATCAGTTTTGGAATTCTAATAAAATCAACTAAACTTTATTTGGTTTTAAAATACGTTTATTTAATATTACTTTTTTTCAGTCACTGACTTCGTGTTGTAGAAATAGTTTATATATTGCGGTTGTCAACTTCTGGCAATACTTGCCATATTGCTCAAAAAATTGGAATTATACGGTGTAAGAGGTAATGTTCTAAAATTGTTAATAGGAAAGAAACAACAAGTAAGAATAACCCAAAATGGAACTAGTTATTTTTCGGGTATTAAGGAAAATAGTCTGGGCATAGCACAAGGTAGTATTCTTGGTCCAATTTTATTTATCATTTTTGTGAATGACTTGTATTTCGTAACACAGTCAGAAGAAGCGAACATAATATGCTATGGGGATGATACAAACCTGCTTGTAGGTGGAAATAATCTCACTGAGGTTAGTGATAAAGGCAACGATATTTTTACAAGGTCTTATGACTGGTTTCTAGGAAATAAATTGATATTAAACAAAGAGAAAACGAATTTAATTATGTTTAGAACTAAATTATGTAGAGTTGAAATACCATTAAGAATACGGATAGGTAAAGAAAATATTAGTATTGTAAATAGCACTAAATTCTTAGGTTTACAAATTGACGAATTTCTTGATTGGTCTGAACATATTGATTATCTGCTAAATAAATTAAATTCAATTTGTTATGGAATTAGAGTCGTTGCAAATTATAATAATAAAGAAACTTTAAAAATTATGTACTTTGCAAACTTTCAGTCGCGCATGAGGTATGGAATTATCTTTTTGGGGGGGGGGGGGTAGTGGTCAACTACAGAAAATTTTCGTGGTTCAAAAGAGGACTCTTCGCATTGTCAAAAAAATGCAATTTAGAGAGAGCTGTAGAGGGGTGTTCAAGACTGAAGGTATTTTTGCTGTATATGCTTTATATGTTGATGAAGCATTAAAAATCGAAAGGATTTCGAACTACTGATATTTCATAGATAATACCAAAACCCTAATTGTAAATTACCCTATTTACCGTTTAACCTTAACTGAAAGGAGTCCTTATTATATGTGCCTGAGATTGTATAATAAATTACCCAAAGTGGTAAAAACAATTGCAAATCTAAAAATCTTTAAAGACACAATAAATATAGAGATAGAGTTAGAACCTTACTCCATAGAAGATTTTTTCTGTAAAATATAAATAATTGTAAATACAATGTAATTTAAATTTGTAACAATATCTGGTGCTTTTTCCTTTTTTGACGCCGATTGCCTTTGTGTTTGGTATATTATTTTTAGGTAATGTATTTATGACACAATGTGAAATAAAGTTGATTATTATTATTATTATTATTATTATTATTATTATTATTATTATTATTATTTGATCCCCTTATGTTTTTATGATGTTTTCATAAACTGCACTTGGATTCCAGTATTTTTACGGACCAGCAGAGAAATGCAAAAGGACGACGTACTTCATCCTTCTGGGAAATTATTTTGGTTTGCGTTTCGTCGAATATCAATTTTTTTTGACATAATAATCAGCCTAATGGCTCACCTAATTACACGATAATTATAATGTCGCCATCAAACGTTGACACCTTCAGTGACTCAGCAAACAAAATATCGGAGCCTATTTGCATTCGATAATGCGTGGTGAGTGGATCCGTACAGGGTGTCCACTTATTCGACATGTTTACATTTTATCTCGATTATCAGAGAGCTAGAAGGTCGTTTTATTTCCAAACCGGGTCACTCTCTTGCTTAGAAATATTGAACATTGGAATTGTTAGTAAGTATTATTTACAAGTCTCCAGTATATGTTTTAGGCTTTTCAATTGAATATTCATAGACAACTAAGTTAAAAATTATGAAATACAGAAAATTTTGAGGGTGCTTTTTTAAATGGAAAGAATAATAAATAAATAAATATAATAAAAAATAATAAAAAAATAAAAAAAATAATAAAAAATAATAAAGCTTTTCTATAAGTCATCAAACAGAGATGGTAGATGGGGTACCTAAAAATTCAACAAAAGTTTCGCACGCTACTTTGAAAACCGCATCTTTTAATCTTTTCTACTAATGATAATGTTCCTGCTTTTCATGCATGATCTGCCAGAACATATTTACAACTTCTAAATTTTCCACTGTTACCTCGATACATTTGTTATATCTTCTTCACGATATGTTTATTCATTTATTATGAATTTCACGGAGTCCATCTTTGCACAATAACCCTAGAAAAAGCAAAGCAAAAAAGTAAAAGTAAATGCTTAAGTTACAAGTTAAGGAGAAAAAAATACAATAACAATAATAATCAGTTTTTTAGGATTCTGTTATCATATGCTTGTTTTAGTCTGAATCCTAAATCTATCCTCAGTAGTGAAAAACTACATCCACAATTGGTCCAAGTTATTTGCATTGGTGCCAAGAATCCAACCTTCGGCAAATAAATTTGGCTATTTGGCAGAACACTAATCCTACGCTGTATATTTATAAAGTTCCAAAATGGTGCAATAACCCCTTGATTGAAAAGTTCCCGGAATAACCACCGTGTGGCGCACCCATTGTTGTGCTTTAAGTTCTTTTGTTATTGTTAAGTTGGTACATCTATTTTTGACATTAACTTTAAATTTTAGCGTCATAGCTGTACATTTGCAAAAATTACAATTATAGATTTTTTACAACTTGCATTAAATTTTGAGTTAAAAACGGATTTAATGGCGGGCGAACGCTGGAAATGTCGGAAAAGTGTTTCGGCGATTCTCTTAAGAAAACGGTCGTTTAACCACTACCACTGAAGCGGGTCAAAAGTGGTGGTGAGTCGATCGAAAAAAAAACGCAATGGCAGATAGTCGACATCGAAAACCGACGAAAACAATTAACCATTAGAGAGATAGCGGAGGACTTGAACATTGCATATGGATCCAAGACATTTTGGTTAATGATTTGGCTTTCCGAAGCGTAGCAGTAAAGTTTCTGTCAAAAAAGAAGGCAATGCTCACGGTTTTAATGACGTAGTACATCATAAATTTTACCAGAAAGCCAGATTGAAAAAGTATTATTTGGGCGTTATGAGACGTTTGCGTGAAGCAATTCACCGAAAGATACCAGAATTGGGGATAGAAACCTCGTAAAATTTGTTCCATTATTGGTAATTCTTTGACCAAAATGCAACAAATACCATCTAACAGCCACCGAATTCACTTAATTTGGCCCCCTGTGACTACTTTCTGTTCAATCGAGTCAAAAAACCACTACGGGGAACGCGTTTCCGCATGCGAGAGATGCATACCGAAAATCGAATATAAAAATTGTTTCAAGCGCTGGTATAAGTGTGTTGACGATATAGATTTAGATGTATAAACTTGTATTTTTAGTTTTGCCAATAAATTCCGGGAACAAGGTGGTATTTTCTGGAATGCTCGACTCTGTATTTTGAACAAAATTTCGGTATGCTCAGCGAGAAAGATCTTTACAAACCTTCCTCAGTCTAGAGAATTCTCGATAATCATCAATAAGTTTAGTTGTTAGTAATGCGTGAGATTTTTTTGATAAAATCACAGTTTCTGTTTTATTTACTATAATCAATTAGTTGATTTTTAAGTAAAGATTTTGACAGTTGGCGGTCCTATTTGCTGAACTTAGGTGTAAAGTTATGAGTGTGTACGAGACTTCTCACAAAGAATTATGTGATGTGTTGATGAAAACTGATTGTCCTTTCTAAGTGACGAACAAGTGCGATTTTGCGAAAAGTACCGTGACTTGCCTATTGCAAATTTTTCCAATAAAGAAACTAGAAAAATCATTTGAGCTTTCTACTTATAGCACTGTAGTTTTTGCAATTTTTGTATTACCATTTCAGTTGGCTAAGTGGTCTTGACGAATCGATGGGAAGTGGACTGTATATTGTCAATAAAATACAAATTTGTTCAAAAGAAAGGCATACATATTGTTACTCGTTTGTTAGACGGCGGTCACTTATTGGTCCTCCAAATTTGACACAAAATGACACCCAAAATTGCATGTCAAGTTGGGCGTCATTTACAAGAATATATTTTTTGGAATTGTATAAAAAATTTACATAATCCAAAAAAAATCTCTGAAAATTGTAAATTTTAATTAGGTATTTTCTTTAACAAAATTAAATTATATTATATATTTTTGAAATAATAATAGGTTTTTCCAATTTTTTTCACGATTCTTTTTTGACCTGCCTTATAAAGCCTGCTGTACAGAAACCAGCAACAACACAAAATACTCACTGTAACACCTATCTATTTGCTTACTATTTTAACATTTGCTGTAGATGGATATTTTCATAAATATATTTAAAAAAAATTAAACAACTTCTATATTCAGCGACCTAATCGTGAATGTTTTAAACATTCACCGATGTTCGCTGGTTTATTTCCCAACAGAGAAGTTAAAGGAACTGCCTATTAAAAAGTTGAAATAACACTTGAAGTTATTTTGTGTATGCTGTATCAGCTCCTTCTCCCAGAGACAAGAAAACTTTAATTGAAAAATTAAAAGATACTTGGGTTAGTGTTGCCTATCCTTATAGAAGACGACGGGACACGATTACCGACATCCATTGAGAGTAAAGAGCGTCAGATTTAAATTGAGATTGATTCGGGGGCCAATAAAATTTCGTACGTCAAATTTCCGAGCTAATGTAATTAATTACCCGCGGATCATAATTTGGTTAAACCCCTTTGAAATGCATTCGGGTAATAAGGATGATCGCCGTTTCGCTTTCGTTCGGCCGGATTTTACTAAACGCCCATCTTACGGCGATTATCTTTTGTTTTGTTTCAGGGCGAAAATAACCCTAATTTTGGAGCCGGCTCTCGCTTACCAGATTTTCCGGAGTCCGGTGATTAAGCGAAATGCCGGAACGTAATTGAAAACTGTGCCTACTTACAACGTATAAAAAATAAAAACAAATATAAATAAATATTTTATGTTGGAGTATTAAAGAAAACATTCCAATTCCCATTCCAATTCCAATTATTGATTGACATTTGATAAAGACACGGTGTTGTCGAAACAATTGTCATGTCAAAATATATAATTTCGTGAAAATCTGAACTTTTAGTTCTTATTTATTTTGAAATCTGATTGTCCATCAGCTACCTCTCTGTTTACTAGGTTTTTTAGAATTTTGTACTTTTTTTCCATAGCTTCATTATTAGTGGGTTTTCGTCTCCAGTTTATCTTTTTTAATTCAGCAATTTTGTTAACGACATGCCGCAAGACCACAATACGAGATTGAAAATATGACAAATTAAAGACTTTAAGCTACTGTTTTGATCGTCATTGCAGAAGTGACATCAGAATTCTTTAACCGATTCTTTAACCAAAGTTGCAAGATTGATAAAGTTAAAGATATTTTTAATTATACAGGGTGAGTCAAAAACAGTTTTTGTTATATCATATATATTTGTAAATGGGACCTTCTATATATTACCTCATCATCTAATGTTCCACATGGTTCTGTTCGTCATATAAGGGGATTTGTTTCAAACAACATAGGACACATAAAACTCAACCTAGGCATTTGAAATTAATATTATACTTAACCAAAGATCCCTGGTATATACTCAATGTGATATTTTCGAACTAAATTATACAGAGTGTCTGTTATAGCTGCACAAATTTTGAAAAAAATAAATAAGCAACATTCATTGGCCTAAAAACACTTCATTTTTCATTAAGTACTTCGGATGCCTAAATCCCTTACTTTTCAAGACATTTCACTTAATTTAAAAATTTTGCTAAAAGTAGCAGTTTGAATCAACATTGCTTCCTTAACTACAAATTTTTATTTTGGAAATTTGAATGCTGAAAGTTACATACACATTTTAGAAGAGGACATAATAACAGACCGGGATAACATGCCCTTAACTGCAACAAATAATTGCACGTAATAGTCATAAGTTAAAGGACTTGCAGCTCTCAATATTGAATCTATAACGCCACTCCGTTACAAGCATGGTATGCAATTCATAGAGCAGCACGGAAGAAAATTTGAGCACCTTTTGTGATAAAGCATCTTTGCCAATTATTGTTACTTTAAAATAAATCATGAACCAAAGTTCATATGAGTGAAAACCCTTTTGCTGCGGAATTTTTCGTTAATAAAATGGTATATTCGGCACATCTTTTCCAGAAAATATCGCATTTTTTCTATTGACATTTTGTATATACCTTTCGTTTTGAGCGAACCAGACGTTTGTCCCGGATATTCTCAGCCTCGCCAGGTATCCTATGACACCAGACCACCACTGCGATGCTGACGTAGGTGAACAACAGCACAACGCAGGGTATGATGTACTGGAGTACCATCAACACGGTGGTGTAGAGCGAATGGTATTCCAAGCCCACCGACGAAAAATCCTCCTGGCATAAGTACCTACGCAGATTTTGACATTGCCAAATGAATATAACGGAAAGGGTAACTTAGTACCTATAATACCAGTGAAAACGATTTAAACTAAGGGGTGTTTTTTTTTCGATGTATAGAACTTTAACTTGCAATAAAACAAAGATAGATTATTCTATTGACATGAATTTTATTTATCCGAAAGATAATCTTGTGGCATTACATTTTAAATATGATTCTTGGCATATGACCGCCACGGCTGGCGCGGATGTAGTCCAATTTTCGAAGACTTTTTCCAACATTTGTGGCCGTATATCGGCAATAACACGGCGAATGTTCTCTTCGAAATGGTCAAGCGTTTGTGGCTTATCCGCATAGACCAATGACTTTACATAGCCCTACAAAAAGTAGTCTAGCGGTCTAAATCACAAGATCTTGGAGACCAATTCACAGGTCCCAAACGTGAAATTAGGTGGTCACCAAACGTGTCTTTCAATAAATCGATTGTGACACGAGCTGTGTGACATGTTGCGCCGTCTTGTTGAAACCACATCTCCTAGACATCATGGTTATTCAATTCGGGAATGAAAGAGTTAGTAATCATAGCTCTATACCGATCACCATTGACTGTAACGTTCTGGCCATCATCGTTTTTGAAGAAGTACGGACCAATGATTCCACCAGCCCATAAGGCGCACCAAATAGTCAGTTTTTCTGGATGTAACGGTGTTTCGACTACACTTGAGGATTAGCTTCCCTCCAAATGCGGCAGTTTTGTTTGTTGACGTAGCCATTCAACCAGAAGTGCGTTTTATCGCTAAACAAAATTCGCTTATGAAAATCGGGAACAACGGCAATCTCGTTTTGGGTCTACTCCTTAGTTGATGATCGTTTGGCGTCAATTCTTGCACGAGTTGGATTTTGTAAACACGTAAACCAAGATCCTTCCGCAAAATCTTCCATAAAGTGGATGGACACAGATCCAATTCCTGTGCTCGATGGCCGACTCATTCGGGTCTTCCTTAATGCTACGCTCTACAGCAGTAATAGCTTCTTCTGTACGCACCGTACAGCGTCTCTGGGGATGCGAGTTATCAATAAGAGTAAACGTGGTGCGAAAACGTTCCATGGTTAATCGACTTAACTGCTCTGATGGACGATTTTGTCGACGATAAAATGGACGTAGTGCGCGATGTGTATTCCATTCAGAATCATTATTTACAAAATAAAATTGCACTATTTGCAAGCGTTGTTCAGGCGTGAGTCTGTTTATGATAATTTGCCAAACCAAACTGATAATTCACTTGACAGCTATTAAATCGGTAGCCATCTTGAACAGTAATGCCAACTTAAAGTTCTATACATCGAAAAAAACACCCATTAGAATGGTAATGGGGTGATAGAAAAGCGAAACAAATTTTATGGTTGAAAAAGCCTAGCGGTATTATCTTCACCTTCTCCTTTTATAGAAATTTGAACATGTGGTGATTTCGTTGAATGACGACTTAATTGATCGATATATTTAAACCAAAATTATTTAAAGGTTATTATTTCGAGATCAAACAACATTAAAATAAATAAAATCTATAATTTTCTAAATTGGTAAGAAACCTTCGAAAAAAGTTCATAAAAATTAATACTGTTAGAAATTCAAAGTCTATAGTTTAAAAAAATATATTGTTCAGAAAATTGCAGCATATTTATTTGCTAGGAATTTTGATTCAAAAAAGAATTAAAATACACTGGAATTTATCAAAATATGTACAGGGTCGTCGTAATTGAAGTGTCTTAACAGAAAAAATGTATTTCTGAACCAGGGCATTTTTTAGGCAAATGCAGTGGTGTGCTCAGATTTTTTATAGAGTTCTCAGTTGTCTCATAAATGGTTTTATCTGAATTCAAAATTTTCATAAATAAAATGTTATGGGCAATTTTCAAAGGCTCAAAAATTTAAAACGATCTAAGTTTCTAAATCGAGCCCTTGACAAGTAAGTCGATTTTGCTCTATCTCGTTCAGAAAGAGATTTTTCTTCTTAAAACCCTCCAATTGCATTTGTTCAAAAAGGGAACAGTGCTGAATTTCCTATTTAATTTTGTACTGCTTTATTTTAAATATTATTAATAAGCGCAAACTTTCATAGTCATAGTCAGTAAAAGTATTTTCGTTATTACTTGGAAATACTACAAGCCTATCAAGACAACCAAAGACACCATATTCAAAGGATACACTAAAAATGAGTCGAAACCCGCAGCTAACATGAATAAATATTTATAAATGGTTAGGTTACGGCATGCTCGTCGCTATAGAACAGATTTTCCAATTGATTTAGGCAATTGCGTTCTTGATCATTTCAAAGCTATCAACGTGCGCTTTTTGATGTCACACACTAAATAGCGCAAAACCATTTTAAATAGCTGTTTAATTGATACTTATAGTTTATGAAATAAAATGCACCACAAATGGAAATTTAAAAGCTATCTTCGATTTTAAAAATTTTTAGACCCCCTTTATAGTTCCGTTATGCGTTGACTTCTCTCTGGCGAAAACTGCTCTGGATATGGTTTTTAACGTAGGAATCAGTGGTGTACTCGCCTTCTGGACATGTATATTATGATATATAAAACAAATTTGTGTTTTATTAATGGAACATCATGTATGACTTTTAATAGTTTAATTAGGAATGCTTTGGGATCTTCAAAAATAGCTATTTAAAATTCAATATATATATATATATATATATATATATATATATATATATATATATATATATATATATATATATATATATATATATATATATATATATATATATATATATATATATATATATATATCTTTAATTTTAATGTCTTTATGAGTAGGCCATGGGAAAAGGTTGCCCAAAATTTATCAAACACTGTGTAAAAATGAGTGAATTTCTCGTTCGAATTCAAGCAATCAGCTATCTTTGTCCTAAATTTAAAATATCGTGTAACATTTCTGAAATTTGCGGACTTTTTTTTAATAAAATAAATAAATAATAAAAATGTACGTAAAAAAATCTGTATTTTCCATGGCCCAATCATAAAAAAATTAAATCAAAGATATACATTTTCTATTAGAAATATCCGTTGTTTTGATTGAGTTTTTTGTCACTCACGTACTATGTATCAAAAGGCGTTAATCAGTGTACCACATTTTTTTAAAAAAACACCAGTGGTGCTCGTACGTAATTTCATCTGTCTATTATGGCAGATATTGATAGTACGCCACTGATTTCTCTTAAAATAAAAATTATTTTTACAATCTCCCATAGTTCCTAGGGAAATTTAGTAGCTGAATTTTTTTCAATCCAATGTACAGTTTTCGCTTGAAAAAAGAAACTCCTATTCTCTGCACGCTCATATCAACATCGCGAAATTAGTTTTTATTTTTAAGTGAGAACTGTGCGACTGACTAAACAAAATTAAGAGATCAAATTTGCTCGTAAATAAATGGAAATGACATTTTGTTTTAAGGAAATCAGTGGCCTGGTACTGACTGTCTATGAACATATTGTTGGTTAATTAGGTCGTCACTGCACTATTTAAATAGAAAACTTTTTTTATGAAAAATAAATATCTATCTAAAACAAAATATATAGTTTTTAGTTACCAACTGGTGTCCTTCAGAAAAAAAAAACTAGAAGACGCTTGTTTTTACTTTTACAGTATTAATAAAATAACATAACATCCTAACAACAAATTAAATAATGAGCGATTGTTATTTAAAAAAAAAAACACTACCACATAACCACCTTTTTGTAAAGAAAGTTGAAGGAGACACGCTTAAACAATTTTCCTCATATTGCTGCGCACTCTACCTCCAATGTTTCCTATTAAATCGCAGGAAGCTCTTACACGATACTTCAGTGTTAACCATAATCTGGTTCTAATTAAATATGGTACTTTTGTAGCAATATTGCGAAATCCTCTTCTAAAATCCGGACATACTTTCGGTCATTTAGCTTTTCTGGCAGGAAAAAGCGTCCAATTGAAACAACAACAATTCCAAGCCAAATATTTGCCGAAAACTGTTCTGCTGATGGTGTTTGAGCTTGCGACCCAAATATGGTTATTGTAGAAATTTCTGATTGGAAAAGCTAGTTTCATCTGTAAATAATATTTCTTGACAAACGCAACAGAAAATCTCGGGGAAGCTACGCCTGGACTAGTTGAATATGATATGGGTATCATACAAAATCCTTCAAATTTTTCCAAACCAGCACGTGCGAGATATTCAGATTATTTCTAATTTTTCTAGAACCAAGTTCAGGATTTTCATCAAGAGAATTTAAAACTGCTTCTTCAATTTCTGGAGTTCTTACAGTCGGATGGGCCTCTTTAAAATGATTATTTGCCTCGTATATCTGGTATGATTCTTTTAGGAAAGCGCTCTTGATATAATCGCCCAGCTTCCAGCGCACTGCAGTCAAACCAAACATACAATGCATATCTGCAAACTTGTCATTAGTAATCTCTATTATTCTTTTTTAAAATAACAATGCTCGGATATTTTAAACTGATGTCAAACAACTGTCAAACAACCTTGCCTTGCCAACAAAATTAATAATTGTTACAGACACGGCCTACTGCAATGATACGAAATAATTATAAAGATTTCCAAATTACACATCAGAGTTTACGTACTTCCTATTCCCACTTCGATTTGTTGAGGTATTTGAATAAAACACATAGACAATTACTTAAGTAAGAAATAATAATGATAATACTTCTCTGCATGCTATCATATTGTTATGACCATGCAGACAAGAAGTTTTTATCTTCTTAAGCGAAAATCAAGAAATAACTTTTCTTTAGAAATGATTGCAGATTGTAAGAATATTTTGTATTTTAAGGAAAATCGGTGGCGCACCATCAATATCTGCCAAAATATGTATTTTAACAAAAATTGTGGTATACTAAATAATACCTCTTGATACAGAGTACACGTTGGTTTGGGTGTGTGTATGTGTGTGTGTACACTTACGACATTTCTGCTTGTGCCGCCT